AACTGGAGATACATTCTACACCGGTGGTAAACTTGTAGCTGGAACATTGCTGAATGCGGCATGAAGCAATATTCAGGCAACCGATCAATTCTTTGGGTGGACAAAAAGCACAACTACCGATATACGCAGACACATTTATATATTTATACATCTGCTTTTTTGATAGAATTTTTAGATCCGTGGACGAATGGACTATTTGTAAAAATTAAAAAAAGTGTGTCGCATCTGTTGCCTTACCTTATGCTTCGGTAGGTCAGACAAATGCATTTGCCAACATGCCGCCTTTATTTTATATGTGTACATTTTACGTTTAACTTAAAAACATCTTTTGTCTTTCACAGTTGTCAGTAACATTAGTCACGCTCTCGTCTACGCCAATGAACTGGGAGATCTAAGTGTGTGACAACTGTAGCCGTCTGTCAGACATACCGTCTGTTTAGGAACCCTGTCGCGTAGGCTGTGGGGTTGTGTAGCTTTTATTTAACTCGAATATAACTGTATCATGATTAACGGGTCAAGATATAAGGCGACCAACCTTTTTTAGCAGTTGTACATTTACAAAAAGTGGAACATTTAGCGGAATATTCATTTTCTGATGAGGCAAATCTCTCCACTCACATTACATAATAACAACCCAATACCAAGTCCAATTTTTTGTGTATTCGGTGACTCTCTCTCTCTCTGTCTATCTCTCTCGCTTTCTCTATCTCTCTCTCTCGCTTTATCTCTCTCTGTCCCTCTCTCTATCTCTCTCTTGCTCGCTCTCTCTGACGCGCTCTCTGTCTCTGTCTTTATCTCTCACTCGCTTTCTCTATCTCTCTCTCTCTCTCTCTCTCTCTCTCTCTCTCATGTACACTGTATACCTCATAGTCCCTGTCTGTCTGCACGGGTTGCCCAGTCGTCTAACGTCTGAGATCTGCATCACTTCGGGCTTTCCTCCCACATTAAGCTGACACGCCGCGATATAACTGGAATACTGTTAAAAGCGGCGTTAAACCCAACTCACTCACTGTCTACTTTAGTGCATTACACACCTCTTGGATGGCAACTCTCATAAGATTGACTCTGTTCTTCTTTGAGTATTAGAAACGTGATCAGCGGAATTGACTTCCTCATTATGTATGTTTGACAGATTGTGAAGGTTGGAGTGCTCTCCCTTATTCGTCCTTGCAGACCTCCTCACGGCGTCTGGCCAATCGATTTTATTACGCATAGGATACATGTATAACATGTTAAAAGATGGTACATGTTGTTACCCTGCCTGGCGCTAAAACAAGGACTGGTCGGCCCAGTTAGTAATGTCGTAAGTGTGTTATGGCGACTGGGAGGGGGGAAGAAGATGAAGGATCGCAGCGACAATAGAAAATAAGATATTGGCATCATCTTAAACTTGTTGTTCTGGAAAGAAACGAAGTCTCCACCATGTCGTATCTGTGTTTTGGTGTGTCCAGTGACAGCAGTGACCTGAGCCCATTGCCGTTCCGTGTCGCCATGGTCCTTCTAAGACAATTCTCTGCAACTCGCAGGGTGCTGGGGTTTCACCAAGTCCAGGAGAGATGGGTCCTTATTACCTAGATAGATATTCATGTTCCGTCGCACACCCATACAAGAATGAACACAGCATAAGCTTTGATGTTCACATCAACTTTGCTCAACTTCAGTCTCTGACAACTGACCGAACAGGGCAGGGTCGTCACGAAATGAGCAACTGCCACTAAAACTCGCACTACTCGCTGTAAACTATTTAACTATTTTACTATAAAGCCATCTTTTTAATGTCTGTCACGTGTCCTGATACACCGGGTTGATGGGTTGTAATTTGTTTGATCGTTTTTTGTTTAACGCCGCACTCAGCAATATTCCAGCTATATCACGACAGTCTGTAAATAATCGAGTCTGGACCGGACAATCCAGTGATTGATGTCATGTTCGTTTCCACTTACGACAAGCATGGGTTGCTGAAGACCCCGGATCGTCACTCGTGGTGCGTTATAATCCATATTGGATAATGAACACATGCTTGTGTCGTGATCGTGAGAACAACAGACCGGTTAGTCATCCTCTATTGGTTTCCTTCATGATATGTGTATTCTCTACCTCACCATTTACGTATTCTGTCTCTCATGATTTGACAAAATGCAACCACAGCATCGAAGCTACAGGGACAGTAGTAGTTTGAATGTTGAACACACACACATGTGTATGCAAGTGCGACAATCTTGGACGTTAATCCCTATTTCACCTCACTTTATAGCTCAACTAACTTTGATTAAGAGAGCTGGGCAAATGAAAACCAGCTTTTTCTGTTTGCAGTTCAAAACGCTAATACTTGGGGAAAATCAGTCTCGATTAACTGCCGAAACAGGTTTCATTGGGCTTTAAAGGCAAAGCAGGGATTGATGACTGAAAATCAGTGATCAGTGTTCGCGAAAAGGGTAAGACCTACAATCAGACGTGGATGTATTTGTGTCCATTACGCCTGTCCCAACATGTAGGATACAGACATCTGAAGAACCGACTGCTAAGAATAGCTATCATAAGACGATACGGTACAGTTATTCACCGCAAAGAGTAATACGCATAATACTGACGGTTTCGCTTGACTTTTATTGAATCATAACCTGAATGTAACTCTTTCACAATGTAACACGGTACTTGTCCTGTGACACTATAGACTTCACTGATTGACGAATGTTTCCCCAAGGCTTAAATTAACATACGCGTTGACAGTCCGTTTATTTATAGGCAGGTCTATTGTAAAGGCAATGAGGTTTGCCTTCTGTCACTTGCGATACCAATGTCATGACCAAATGAAATGCTCCATTTTAAAGACAAGTATCATGAACAACATTCGTGAAGTCTTTTATGTAAACACGTATTATACGTTTAATTCACGTAAAGTGTCATGTACTTCTTCATGAAAAGTATCATGCATATCTTCATGAAAAGTGTCATGTAAATCCTCATGTAAAGGGTCATGCTAATCTGTATGAAGCTGATCATGATTCCAGCCAGCCGGAAACTGCACACACACACACACACACACACACACACACACACACACACACACACACACACACACACACACACACACACACACACACACACACACACACACACACACACACACACACACACACACACAAAAAACACACACAAAACAAACACACCCAAAAACACACCCAAAAACACACACACACACACACGATATCAACTCAAAAGGATATCACTGTTTTTTCTACTCGTGAGAACGAGACCGACATGTTGGACATGCTTATGAAGACCATTTATCATAATCAGTTCTTCATCTTACAATCGGTTACTTTCTCCTCGACTTAATATTTCATCTTGCATGAATTACCCTAGAATCCACGATGTTTGAAACACTAATAACAGCACGTGGTGCTGTGCGTAGCATAAAGGTCACAAATCAGGTGGGTACCCGGAAGGATGTGATGTCGACGAATTCTTAATGACGAACAGACAGCTTTTTGTTCAGTCAGACAACATTCAGTGGAACAAGTGTTACTTGAAATATGTTAATTAGTCTCCTCATGTGCCCGGTGTTACAGACACATGTTCCCTGTGTTACAGACACATGTCTCCAGTGTTACTGACACATGTTCCCTGTGTTACAGACACGGGTCTCCAGTGTTACAGACACATGTTCCCTGTGTTACAGACACGGGTCTCCAGTGTTACAGACACATGTTTCCTGTGTTACAGACACGGGTCTCCAGTGTTACTGACACATGTTCCCTGTGTTACAGACACATGTCTCCAGTGTTACAGACACATGTTCCCTGTGTTACAGACACATGTCCCCAGTGTTACTGACACATGTTCCCTGTGTTACAGACACATGTCTCCAGTGTTACAGACACATGTCTCCAGTTTTACAGACACATGTCTCCAGTGTTACAGACACATGTTCCCTGTGTTACAGACACGGGTCTCCAGTGTTACAGACACATGTCTCCAGTGTTACAGACACATGTCTCCAGTGTTACTGACACATGTTCCCTGTGTTACAGACACATGTCTCCAGTGTTACTGACACATGTTCCCTGTGTTACAGACACGGGTCTCCAGCGTTACAGAAACATGTCTCCAGTGTTACAGAAACATGTCTTCAGTGTTACAGAATCATGTCTCCAGTGTTACAGAAACATGTCTCCAGTGTCAAAGGCACATGTCTCCAGTGTTACAGAAACATGTCTCCAGTGTTACAGAAACATGTCTCCAGTGTTACAGTCCCATGTCTCCAGTGTTACAGACACATGTCTCCAGTGTCAAAGGCACATGTCTCCAGTGTTACAGACACATGTCTCCAGTGTTACAGAAACATGTCTCCAGTGTTACAGACCCATGTCTCCAGTGTTACAGACCCATGTCTCCAGTGTTACAGACACATGTCTCCAGTGTTACAGACCCATGTCTCCAGTGTTACAGAAACATGACTTCAGTGTTACAGAAACATGTCTCCAGTGTTACAGACACATGTCTCCAGTGTTGCAGAAACATGTCTCCAGTGTTACAGACACATGTCTCAAGTGTTACAGAAACATGACTTCAGTGTTACAAAAACATGTCTCAAGTGTTACAGAAACATGTCTCCAGTGTTACAGACACATGTCTCCAGTGTTACAGAAATATGTCTTCAGTGTTACAGAAACATGTCTCCAGTGTTACAGAAACATGTCTCCAGTGTCAAAGGCACAGTGTTCCCTGTGTTACAGACACGGGTCTCCAGTGTTACAGACACATGTCTCCAGTGTTACAGACACATGTCTCCAGTGTTACAGACACATGTCTCCAGTGTTACAGACCCATGTCCCCAGTATTACATGAAGGTACGGCTTATATAACTTACCATAAGAACATTAAAACGTCGTATAAATCACTATTAAATTAACATGTCAAGGGAGACAAGACAACGTCTCTCTCAACACTCAAACATGAACTTAAAGCATATCGTCGCTGACTTACGACAGGAGGTTTTGAACATGTTCCCATCGTTTTCGCCAAGGGTTCTCAGTGCTGGTACTGTAGCCGTATTCTGCGGTGGACTGAGTTGTTTGATGCTGGACACGGTCGTACCTGTGTTTAGAATTCACAATGGAGCAGGTAAATGTTCATCATTATCCTAGCTTCAATACATTCAATATCCCAAACTCGACAAAGCCAAGTTGAGATTATATTTATGTTATGGGTTTTCGTCAGTCCGTCCCTCTGTCCTGTTGTACTGAATTGAAATCTCTACTCCACATCGACTGAATATATCTATCCATGTTCTATGCGTAAGAAGTAAACTTTGAATGTTAGTGTAAACTACATCATTCGCGCCAATCTCTTCTTCCAACGAACCACAGGATATGGTGTTTACAAATTCACTTACTAAGTTCGCAACAACATTCCTTACAGCACGGTAACTACTTCTTTGGAAAATACAACATGCTGTGAGGGCATTGGTTATAAACGGGGTGTTTGTAATCAGTTGAATAATCCAATTATGACTTTCTATTTTGTCCTACTCTTCTTGTGAGTATTTAACACACACGTACTTTTATGCAACAATATGAATTTTATAGTGATTACTCTGACATACGCGTGGTTGCCTCTGAAGGCCAAGACCCTGCTTATGAACTTCGTATGCAAACTGCTTATAACTGCATTGAATTGTATATTTGTTTTGTACGCCCTCGAACATACATATGTAAGAAAACGAGGAGGTAAATTCTACTGTTTATGCGTTAATGTTAATAAGGCATTTGATATGGTTGATAGAACAAAGTTGTTATAGCTAGGTTAAACAGTGTATCCATGGTAATGTATTTAAATATTTTCAAAGCATGTACAGTAAAGTTAAGGCTTCTGTGAAACTTAGTCCAACTCTTTGTACATATTTATTTAATACATCATGCGGTGTTAGACAAGGATGTATGTTGTCACCTTTATTATTTCTTATCTACAATGATACGTTAGTAGATATTATAAAAAAAAAATATAAGTGGGATTTTATTGATTATGTTATTGACGAAATTAGTTGACGTTTGTTGATGATAAGTGAAAGAAAGATATCAAGTTAAGAAACATATTGCATCAAATGGGATTTAACTGTGTATATAGATACGAGAAAGGTAATAGTGTTAAAGACATGGTGGTATTCTATCATAACATGAACGATGGTACATAATTTGTCAAACGTTAGAAGTCGTATCATAGTATCAGTATCTTGGCATTGTATTTTCATGTAGAAATATATTCGCTCAAGCTTGTGTCACTTTAGCTGATCAGGCTAACAAGACACCTGTCCCCACCAAGAAAACGATGTTCAAATATTCAAAAACGAATGTGGATGTTACTTGTATTTGAAAATATGTGATTGTAAAATTTTGCCTATTCTTTTTTATGGTGCTAAGATATGGTGTACAGAAATAAGAACACAATACTATACGTACTGTGAATATGTATTGAAGATTTGGTGTAGATCTTCAAATGCTGCTTATAAAGTACTGGATTATATCATGAGTGAGTGAGTGTTTGAGTTTGGTTTTACGCCGCTTTTAGCAATATTCAAGCAATATCAGGGGGGGGGGGGGGGGGGGGGGGGGAGGACACCAGAAATGGGCTTCACACATTGTACCCATGTCGGGAATCGAACCCGGGTCTTCGGCGTGACGATCGAACGCTTTAACAACTAGGCTACCCGACCGCCCCGGATTATATCATGAAGTTTGCTACTGGGAAAATACCCCAAACGATGTTATATGATGTTATGTAAGTACGGCGAATCGGGCTGTAATAATTGGGTATCCTTTGATAGATTTATATTGTATAGTTGTGGATTTGGAAATGTGTGGCTCATGCAAGAAATTACAATCTGTTCATTGCTACATTGAGGCAAAGATTGAGAGACAATATTAGTTAGCTTCTCTTTCCAAATCCCCTAAATTAGAAAATAATGCATTGTGAATATAAACTTTTATTACAACCTGACAAATACATATTTTCTATTCAAACTTCAAATTTGACCAAAGCGCTTACGCAGTTTATATGTGGCTGCAATGGTTCACAGAATTAACAAATGTAGGCTCTCTGGAGAGCTGAATTTTACTGATTCTTTTTGCGATTTTTGTGGTGAAGGATTTCACGATGAATACATGTTGTTTTGATATGTCCAGCTAATAGTAATTTATACCTGTATATTATTTTGAATACCCTACCAAGATTATATCCCTGCTCGCAACTAATAATGATCATATTTTGTACAGATTAGCTTTTTTTGTGAAAAAGATGTTTAATGTTAGTCAGTCAAGGAGTAAAATGAAGGCGCTCTGCTATCAACGTGTTCTCAAGGTGCCTGATCATCTGGCCTCGTGGTCAGTATATACGTAATACATTCTGTTCTGCTCTGTTCATGAATAAACATGGCTGAAATATTGCCGATGTGACGTAAAGCATTAACTCACTCACTCACTCACTCATGAATAAACGGGTTATGTAAATAAAGCTTAACACGAAGATTTGCTTTTAGTACACTTTTCTTGAATACAGTTTTCAGGAAAGGCTTCGAGATTTCAGATTTTGTTTGCATGACATTTTATTCACTTCATACGCAACCGTCTTCAGTAACAACCATATTTGTTGTCTTTGAATCACTTCTTGATGCCCATATTATCATATAATTTGTCTTGTCATCTTATTATGAGATAAAGTAACAGTTATTTAAACCACAATCTGGTATTCACACGACAGGTAAGGAACCTGGTGCTTGTTAAAGGTCAATACTGGACACGCTTATTTAAAAAAACAACAACAAAAAACCCAATAACTCTCTGTTGAGTTTTTGCCAATTACTTGAAGCATCTAACATCACTATTAATATGGCAAAATATTTCTTTCCGTTTGCTTACATGAATTGAGTTAATATTTGAGAAATACGACTTTGGAATATGACATAGTAGTCATTAGTCTTACGTGAACACATGCAACAAAATATGAGGTTCACAAAATTCTCTGAGAACTTAAAAGTGTTAGAAATATACCATTATATCCATAGGGTCGCAAATAACCAAGTACATAGAAATCATATGTTGCTCACGTATCATAACCCCTAGAAGGATTTTCATTGGTCAGGTAAACGCCCATGACCTCTGTTGCCTCATCGGAATGCGGAACTACTTTTTCATTCATTCAAGTTTACTACGAAATCTCGTTAGGACAAGGCGATCTTTCAAATAAAACAATTATCTAATAATAAATATGGCCAAAGACAAACGTGTATTCAGTAAGCCGATTATGAAACTAATACATGCATTGACATTGCTATATGATTATTAGCAATAACATTATTACTATCGCCGCAGGCGACAACCTTGCTATTCCTATCAGGGAGTATGTCTTTTATAAAAACTAACTAGTTCGGAACATCCTCAGCCCATAAATTGTGTATCACTGAATAAAGGTGAGCTTCTGTACCTATGGTACTCTCGTGTAAGGAAAGTTAACATGTCATTGCCGTATAGACCTGCGAATTTATCTTCAGCAACCCACGCTTGTCGTAAGAGGCGACTAATGGGATCGGGTGGTCAGGCTCGCTGACTTGGTTGATGCAGATCATCGTATCCCAATTGTGTGGATCGATTCTCATGATATCAGTAACTGGATTGTCTGGTCCAGACTCGATTATTACAGACATATAACTGGAATATTGCTGAGTGCGATATTGATTATCTGGTCCAGACACGCATATGTTTTCCAGGCGGTCGCCATGCAGCTGGAATACTGCTGATTGTGGCGTTAAACAGTAAACAAACACACAAACAAACAAACACTACCATATATTAACTGGCTGAAAGTACTTCGCCACAACAAAGTACTACAACTTGAAGTATTTTCCTATATTCAGGCAACTGACATTGTGCCCTGTTTGCACTGGCTTTAAATGACTTATTGATATTCACAAGCAGATAAACAGGGAAACATAAATAATTACGTGAACTCCATCCCTCGGCACTATCACATGTGTGGATGCGTACATTTATTATAGTGATGCTATAGATACAGCTAATGCGGGTTGTATAGTGTATGTTTGTAACCCTTTGATACATACTGACTTGAACGCTAACTTGTTTCAGGTTCCGGACTTGGGGTTTTGCTTCTTCTATTTAGCGTTGTATTGATGGACGTCATAAGGTTAGACCCAAGCCCCCACCACACGTGGGCATCGCTCTTGAAACAGTATATATGGTTGAAGAAAGGTTACATCAGAGCATGCTTGACACCCAGCTACCGCCCTATCCTAAGAGATGCTATGCATCACCAAAGAACCGTTCTAAAAAGTATTCTCAAGAAGGGTTCTGGAACCGCATATGGACGTGATAACGCCTTTGATTCTGTAACATGTCTCGAAGAATTTCGGTGTCAGCAGGGTCTTACATCCCACGAGAACTATGACATGTACATCCAGCGTATGATACACGGAGAGCCCGATGTCATGTTTCCCGGACAGCCTGACTATTTCACTTTGACTTCTGGTACTTCTTCTGGGAAAAGTAAGCTCTATCCCAGACAAATGGCGTGCAATTTGCAGATGTTTACCATTTACAATATCCACACACGGAGGGAGCTGCTTAATATTCCCAACGTTGGCAAGCTCAAGTTCTGGTTGGACGTGAGGACACCACCGAGTGTCACGAAGTCTCCGAGTGGAGTCAGACAAGGTCCTGCTAGTGGAGCTGGGTCATTCGTCTGTCGCTTTAGACCATCACCTGATGCTGCTTACGAAATAAGACAGGAGCATGCGTCTTTATATGTCCATGCATTGTTTGGTCTGACATGTAAAGATGTCACCCTGCTAAGCACCCTCACTGCACCTACAGCTTTGAACTTCTTCAGGCTCATTGAGACACAATGGGAAGCCATGTGTGGTGACATTGAAAGGGGAAGCATCTCCGAGTGTCGTGGCCTGGGGGAAGACTTGAGACACAAGCTTCAGAAGCATCTGACTGCTGATGCAAGGAGAGCTGGTGAACTAAGACGTATATTCAAGGAAGGTTTCCACAATATTGGGCCACGAGTCTGGCCATGTTTGTCAGTGTTGCATACGGCGTCGTCAGGAGCTTACATTCCAGCGGTGAGAAACTAATTAAATAATTCAGTATTGCAACTACAGTAAACTACGTTTATAACGAACATGCTTATAATGAACTGACGGATATAACGAACTTATTTTTAGTACCGGCCATTTGCTGTATATATGCTGTATATATGTTTATAACGAACTACTGTTATAACGAACTAAAATTAGTAGTCCCTTTGAGTTCGTTATAACCGTAGTTTACTGTATATAAAATATCATCTCGCATGAGGTCTTGCAGTAAGTTGATGGAATAACGCATTATTTTCACGCTAAAATATAGATAGATTACTAAACAAGTAACCGTTAGATACCGAGTTGTTATGAAAACGGTATCTATTGGGGACGAGTGTAGTAACTTATTTATTACTCCCTTAAACTTAGGACATTATCGAACGTCAACGTTGAAAAAAGACGTTGTTGGCATAAAAGTGGCGTATGAATACAACATTCGTATCTCATGATTCGACCATAGACTGTTCTCTGAATTTTAAAGTGCAACATGGAAATGGAGTGTGCATGCTGCTCGATTACGAGAAATGATTAAACGTCGTGTTCATGATAGTATTAATATACAAATATCACCAAGTGAGGAACGTTAGCATTTAACGGAAATCTATCTTCAAACTCAGTTCATATGATAAATGGGGAGCCGGCGAGAGAATCGAGTCGTCATGTCTAGTCAGTGTTTTTTTCACAGTTGCCTCGCGAACGAATACGTTTGAAATAGAGAGAGTACATATGAAGGGACCCTCACGTGTTTATTGTAGTATTGCAAGCATCGTGGCATTATGAAGGTTCAGAGCATCACCTGTCATAAACAAAGTATTATGTTGAAAGATCATCACATCATTCGTCTCCTTACGACCTTTGTTTTTGTGTGTTAATTTAAGTGAGACTAGCGCCCCTTGGACCAAGTGGACAGTCGTTTGAAATAGCCATTCTCCTGTCCACCGATGCAATAATAATAGGAATTCTTTTAACGCGCTAATTTCCACGCAGCAAAACATGCTCGATGTGCTGACAACCGACATGCACAAGAGCGGAATGTCTGAGTTTTCAAACAAAAATGTTAAAAGTCTTGACTTGCAAATATCAAGTGATGAGTCTGTTTTGAGTGCAATTGGAAGAGTATTCCCATGTTTGGCAGCAGTTACTTAAAAGGTTTGAGCACCAAAGGATTTAAGTTTTGGTTTTTCACCAAACCGCACGTTTCTAGATGTCTGGTACACATTGAAAAGGACGTTGAGTTAAGATGGAGCTGTTCCATTTACACACGTGCAAGAATTTTATTCTTGGATGTCCCTACCGGCACACTGTTACAATAGTCCAGCCTGGATAAGACCAGTGATCTTACTCACGCTGTTGTTGCTTTCTCAGTCCCAAATGGACGGCTGGTTTAGTTTGACGTCGATTACAACCAATTCCATAGCAGATACAGCTACTGACTCGAATGAAATCACATACCCAACATGACATGACCCGATGTGTCGATCGTCTTGATCGGGACCACCCGAGCCTTCACTGAGCCGAGTTTGAAACCGAGTGTCTGTTGACTGCAGATGTTTCTAACTTGGTGATATTGGTGAACATAAATACTATCATAAAACATGATTCTAAAACCGACATCTTTAAGTTGTTTGCAATCAATCCTACTGTTCACTTTTTTGCCACATTGCACCTTGTGAGAACAGTCTGTGGTCGAATCATCAACTTCGAATGTTGTATTCATACCCCACCATTATACCATCACTGTCTTTTTCAACGTTGAATTTCCATAATGAGTAATAAATATACTACTACGCTCGTCCTAGACTGTATTTGGAAACGTTTCTACATCTAACGAGCGAAAGTATCTGACGGGAAAACGTTTAGTAATATGTATGTGTATTCAAAATCTTTACGATATCTTAACATGGTATATGTAATAGCGGATGGAATGGCGCATCATTGTAACGCTAGTACAACATATATATTAGGCCCGTGAAGATCCGTGAAAGAATAGATAAACCCATGCTTGTCGTAAGAGGCGACTAACGGGATCTGGTGGTCAGGCTTATTGACTTGGTTAATGCATGTTATCGTATTCCAATTGCGTAGACAGATGTTCATGATGTCAATCACGGGATTGTCTGGTAACGATTCTATCATTTTCAGACCGCCGTGATATAGCTGGAATATTGCTGAGTGCGCCGTTAAACAACAGCACATGAACTACGTCTAGTCACATATATTGAAGTAATTACTCCCGAGAATTTCAAAATGCACATCTCAATAGATTTAAACGTCATTTAGTCTCTTATATTTCAGGCGAATATTCTGAGACGAAAGTACATAATAGACGTCCCAATAACCTCCAGCAGACACGTGGCGTCCGAGGGACTGTATGGCATCAACATGGACATCAGAGACCAGACGAAGACGGAGTATACCATCCTGCCTGAACAAGTGTTTTACGAATTCATCCACGAACTGGATGTTGATCAAGTTAACCCACAGTCGTTGCTGGCTCATGAGGTAGCTACATTGTTTCTTGTTTTGTTTTTCAGAACAACTCTGTCAGATACTGTTAAACTTCTGTCTTTATGCGATGTGGAGGCTATATTGCCCAGGGTCCAGTGCATTTTAGCGAGTATTATGAGTTACTGTTACTATCGCAATAGCCTTAGAACTGTACTATAAGTACTATAAGCCTATGTTTAAGTAAAGGAGCGGCAATAGTCTTAGAGCTGCAAGTACTATGAGTCCATGTTTAAGTATAGGAGCTGCAATAGTCTGAGAGCTACAAGTACTATAAGTCTATGTTTAAGTATAGGCGTTGCAATAGTCTTAGAGCTGCAAGTACTATAAGTCTATGTTTATGTGTAAGAATTGCAATAGCCTTAGAGCTGCAAGTACTATAAGTCTATGTTTAAGTATAGGCGTTGAAACAGTTTTAGAGCTACAAGTAAGAGAGAGAGAGAGAGAGAGAGAGAGAGAGAGAGAGAGAGAGAGAGAGAGAGAGAGAGCGAGAGAGAGAAATATTATGTATTTCCTCCAGAAGTTAATCCGAAGATTATACATAATTAATCAAACTTATTCACACAAACTCATATTACCTGTACATATATACAATACAAGACAGTAGCACGTGACAATACCCTATGACGTAATTTGTAGTATTTTGTTGCCTGTCGTACCGGCGAAACAATGGACCAGGGGTCATCGAGTGTGCATAAGCTCCTCGTGATCTATCATCTCTACACGAAATGTCATCGAATACGCCAAGCGCTGTCGAGAGTTTTGAATATTGGAGAGCACTGAATAAAGCCTGAGGCGGCACATTTTATAGCAAGCGCTAGTTTACAAAAGCACTTTTATATATATATTTTTTTCGTTTTTCTCGTAATTCAAGTGGCATAAAGGGTTATAAATGGGAACTTATATACATATATTATGTTTTCGGTGCATTAATTTTCATTATTATGCACAAGAATGTAGTTTATTAGGGATATTATATTGTCGCTGAACACATCCAAATATCGCTAGTGTTACGGTAGGTTACTCCGAACTCTATCCTTAGCCCTTGGATCCCCTTTACGATCAATCACCCCTTTCGATCATTAAGGTAAGGTACCCGTTTAGTGGCTATTAGATTACCCGAATTCTGTCCTTAGCCCTTGGATCCCCTTTACGATCAATCATCCCTTCACGATCATTAGATTAAGCACGGACTTGTATAACTTATATAGGTCCGTGGATTAAGTAAATCTACCCGTTTAGTGGCTATTATAGATTCTATAGCGGCTCCTAATATTCTTCACACAAAAACATCGCGTAAAAAGAATTAAATGGTTTTGTGTCGAATACTTTGGCTACTGGAAACTGTCCTGGAACATTCACACAAGCCACTTTCACCGGCTACATTTTTTCAGTACTGATTTAAAAGCGAACTCACCGTTGTGTCGTCACTAGCCTTGCACATGCCTCCCTCGTTCCTTACTATTATCCACATCATCCTGACAGTGTTCCCTACCACTCTTTTCTGTCACAAATCCACCCGACGAATTATTAAATAACACGTCATTCATGCGTACTCGCGAGTTCGACGTCTGACGTCTGACGCCTTGAGCCGTTTTCAGTTCGCGTCATATCGGATCATTCCTCGCCACTCGGTATCTCGTAGATTACGGAATGGGACGAGTGTGCCAAATGGCATCGGGATCATTCGTAAGTGTCGAATTCCGACGGATTCTCACAAAAACTGGTTGCTTGTCTTTGAGACATGTGACCTACGGCAGAGACCGTCCTCACGAGAAGTTATGGTACTGTATTCTAAAGGTGCTCCAGGGGTTGCAATAGTTTTAGAGCTGTAGGTGCTGTAAGTCTATGTTTAAGTATAGGAGATGCAATAGCCTTAGAGCTGCAAGTGCTGTAAGTCTATGTTTTAGTACAGGAGTTTCAATAGTTTTAGAGCTGCAAGTACTATAAGTCTATGTTAAAGTATAGGGGTTGCAATAATCTTAGAGCTGTAGGTGCTGTAAGTCTATGTTTAAGTATAGGGGTTGCAATAATCTTAGAGCTGCAAGTACTATAAGCCTATGTTTAAGTATAGGGGTTGCAATAATCTTAGAGCTGCAAGTACTATAAGTCTATGTTTTAAAGTATAGAGGCTACGAGGGTTGAAGTTCTGAACCTCACATAGAAGGAAGTGCTCAATGGGGAACTCTTTTGTTGTGGACATTACATAATGTCATAGAGGGATACCCACAAAATTTGGAGTCATTTGAGTAAATTGTTTCGCTGTGATGTGTCACTAAAATAAACAGGGGTCTGAGGCAAACTTTGAGGAATATGCAGTGTAGAATCATTGTGCCGTCACAACTGGTTGTGCCGTATGATGTCGCAATTGCCAGTGAAGCCAGTGGTAGAATCATTGTGCACAGTCTACATCGTCTGGTGTAGAATAATTGTGACGTCACAATTGTCTGAGGCGACTCGTGCAGGAACCTCGTGGTTTAAAGTTTGTATTGTGTGAACCCTAAACATAGATAATGGATGAAGTTGTCGGCAGTTTCATTTTGCTGACACTATTTGGGGAAATTGCGTGAATGGCGGGTTCTGCCGGTAGAGCAGGACATGCTTTCCCTTTTCGCGAACACCTGGTGTTTTCACTGGTTTACAGTGGTCCATTCGTATGATTTTCACCACTATTTTGCCTTTTACCCTCAATGGAGTCTGTTTCGGCAGGTAATCGAGGCTGATGATTCCTGGCTATAACGTTTTCTGTTTACAACTGTGTCTGTAGGTGGTTCCTGGGCAGAGTTATGAGATGGTTATTACGAACTGGTCTGGACTGTACAGGTATAGGACAGGAGACATCATCCGCGTTACCAGTTTCACTGGCCAGGCCCCCAACTATGTTCTACAACAACGGTGAGTAGGCGGCTGTATGCTGCACCGTGCTGTTGTTGGACTCTCAACTCTTCATGTGTTAATCATGACATAACTGTTGCTGTGAGCTGTATATGTGAATACGTTGTGAACAGCGAAACGAAGTTAACCCGGGCGTTAGCATTAACAGTGAAATTGTTAGGATTTTTGTAGATTAACGAATCGTGGGAACAGACAGTCGTTTTGTTCCGGGCAGGTCATGTACCGGATTGTCTTTTGATATCCAATATATGAAAATGAGTCGAAAAAGTTTGAAATTTCGCAACGAGTGGTGCTTCGAAGTTTTAAACTTTTATTGACTTATGTTGATATAGTGAACACCCAGGTGATATTCTGTTTATCGTTCAAAATTATTCATCTAACTATTTCAGTTGTAAACAATAATAACCAGTGTATGTGCATGTGCTGAATAGAAAAAAGGACTAACCAGCTTCAGCGGCAGAGAGATGAGTGATTGAGAGAGAGTGATAGTGTAATTTGATTGTGGCGTCATGGTAACCGATGAATTTACAATGTTCTGCAAAGCTTTGTGATGGAATTTCATCGCAGCGATATCTCTTAGGATATCTCCCCGTTCATGGGCTTTAGTGTTATCAAAACTACGTAAAACCAACACTCGGGTCATTTAAAGGGGGATTTGACCAGCAAAGTGACATCCCCAGGATGTTTCATAAAGGCTATATGGAAGTCCGTAAAACACTGTTTATACTCTGAAAACTCGCATTATGTTTAGTGAGTAGTGTGTGAGTATGGTTTTACGCCGCTTTTAGCAATATTCCAGCAATATCACGTCGGGGGACACCAGAAATGGGCTTCACACATTGTACCCATGTCGGGAATCGAACCCGGGTCTTCGGCGTGACGAGCGAACGCTTTAACCACTAGGCTACCCGACCGCCCCCGCATTGTGTAATGTATACCAAGCTATGGAGGTCGATAATTTCTCTGTATACGCAATGTCTTAACCACGGCATCTTCTTGACCCTGACTATAAATGGGTGCCAGATCGGGCATCATAGTGTCACCGACAATATCTGCAAAAAATCCAACGTTACCAAACGTTTTTAAGAACATCCTCGATTATCTGGTGCATTATACATTCATTTTTAAGATTCACTTTGTATTTTCTTAGGTTGATTGAGGTATGAATCGAAAAATCGATGTGAAACAGTTTGAACATTGGTTTTTCGATTCATACCTCGATGATCCAAAACAAACAATCGGTCAATCCTTAACTTTTAATTAAATTCGACAGTAGAAACACGTGTTATCTGCAACAGTTTAATAAAAAACCCAATTATGTAAATCAAAGCAGACAAAAAAACACGAAATTGATAAACATTCCAGGTGCAGGGATACAACCTAATCAGCTGATTGGTTTAAAATTTATGCACATAACTTGACACGCCCACAAACAACGGAGAGTAGCATCAAACAAAGTTCACAGGACCTGCCAGTCAAACCAAGTTGCGAGAACAGGTGCAGCTGTCAGACTGTAACGAACCGAAACAAATATGTCTGGGAGAAGGCAGCTGTTTCAAATGCCATGGTCAGTAACCTCCATATTCAAACATTAGTTCCCTGAACACGGGATGACACAGTTGGAAAAATACGAGTTTAAATGAAACACGAAGACATGACATTTGAACATGCACGTTTGATGTTTTATTCCTTCTCTGCCTTCGTCCTCGAATGGTGTTTCAGACGATGAATATGCATGAATTCCGCTAAAACGTCCTGTGCGGGATGATACACGTGAGCGGAAAGGAGATTATCTCGACTGTATGTCTCTCGACATTCCGTAGTGGTGGAACTAGTACGCTTCAGTTGGCTTGGCCTAATGTTTAAAATTCATTGGGAAATGAATGCAATGCTACGTGACTAATTCAGCTAATCGGAAAGCAGAAATTACGATGATCGCATAGAAAATCTAATTATTCTGTTATTATAAATACCCAACAGCTATTCGACACTGTATCTTGGGTATTAGTCGGAATAACACGACGCAAAGATACCACTTAGTAATTGTACTGTTTTTCATGATTAAAACATGTCGCGATATCACTACTTCTCCACTCGTAAAGTTGCCTGCCGTCTAAAATACAAATGGGAACGTCAAGTAATGCCACTTTCTAAATACTCAGGAAAACGTGTTAATAAGCTAATACTCGACTAAGTGAGTCCGAACAGTTTATTTTAGATCTACAGTACGCCAAACGTACGAACAGAAATCAAATTTGGCGCCACACACTACTTAAGCCGAACTGGGTCAGGTTCTGCAAGATAGAGGACAAGACCTTCTCACATTGCCATGCATTCACCTTTACCCATTCTGGATGTAATTCAGACCGCCTCCGTGGTCTAGTGGTAGAGCGTCCGCCCGGAGAGCGGAAGGTCCGGGGTTCTATCCCCGACCGCGTCATACCAAAAGACGTTAAAAGATGGTACTTGTTGTTACCCTGTCTGGCGCTCGGCATGAAGGGGCTAAAACAAGGACTGGTCGGCTCGGAGTCAGTATACTGTGTCTGAGTGGGGTATTCATGTTAAACTGCGGCATGGTATCTCAGTGAGCTAGCACTATAAATCGGCATTAGTCCAGACAAGTACAAGCAGCCACACAAACACACACACGTACATGCACGTCGCTATATAAGTGCAATAATCTTCGACGCGACGTTAAACCCAATTTCACCTCACTTCTGGATGCAATTCTACTTCCGTCGTTTTCAAGTGCCAGGTTTCACTTGTAATGGTATCACTGTTGTATCCTGCAGGAGGGGAGACGGGTATGACAAGTACCCAGAGTTCATGTTCACTGAGGCTGTTTTAAAAGCTTCCAGAGCTTGGACGTCAGGGACGATGCTCAACTACATGGCTGCCGGCAACATCATCGTTGAGGAACTTACTGGTAAGAGAAAACAAAAGGTTGTTGTTGTAGCGGAATGTGGTAATACATTCTTATTAAAATGAACTGTTTTTCAAAGGAGGAGGTGGGATATCGGCCCTTTTTGGCCCACTTGAAATGTCAAATTTTAACGTTTAGGAAACTTTGTAATAATATTATGAAATATACCAGACATGTTCAAATGGCAAACAAGTAGACATTTTTCTGAGTTCTGTCATGCTCAAGTAAACAGGAACAGCTAAAAGAGACGAAAAGGAGACAGTTTTTCCAACCTTAAGCCCTTGGCCCAGCATAATCCTACGTATATCCTGCTTTTATGTTCTTCTCCTATCAAATTCATGATCAGCTTGGGTGAAAGACTTGCTTATATTCAACTTTTCCAACCAAAATACTTCAAGAAAAAAACGTTACAATCAGCATTTTTGACATTTTAGGCTGAGCTGTACGCTGAGTGTTAAGTCCAAACCATTCTGATGTTAAAATGAATGACTGGTTGATGTGAACTCATCTGCCATGACAATGTCTAAATAGAACATGCTGATTTCTTAAAATTATACAGGTTATGTTTGCCCAAACAGGTCCGTCATCATAGCATTTTCGTTTCACAGAAGAATGATTAACTTACATTTCTGACCACGTAAGTCAGTGTTACAGAATTGGGATTATCGGGCGCATGGGTTTCACGATTCACTCATATATCGATGCATCGCCACCTTACACCTGAGCATGCAGAACACGATTCATCTATCCATGTATTGCGATTCATTCTTAACCCTGTATCGATTGTCAAAAATTAGAGTGAGTGAGTATGGTTTTGAGGTTTATTCATTTTAGGCAATACAAATGTAAGTGGAGTAATTATTTGTTGCTAATTTTGAGGTTCAACGCCCTTTTTTAAAAACAGTCACGCTGTCGCGACCTGCTTTATTATTAGCATCAATCAAACATAGCGGATATGTATCCGTTATTCTGTATGCATCCCGCGATGTTCTTCAACTGTAGGCGAAAGTAAACTGATGTGAGTCTGGGTGTTTGGTTGCGAGATGGGAGGTCGGAGGTAGGATACCTCTAACGCAGAAGTACCCCTCACGGTATAATGGTGTAGGTAATTGGTATTCCTCCAATTTGCAGGTGAACTATCCACGACAGCGCACGTGTATGTCTTCATCGAACTGATTGGTGATGGAGCTTTGACTGATCGTGAAAAAGATACGGTATGTAGATACAGTTTCAGGAGTAAGTTAAGAGGAAAACCCGAAGTGATGCACGCCTCAGACACCTACCACTTTGCTCGGTCTGGTGCTAGCAATCCTAGAAACATAATCGGAAAGACATAGGCGTATTAAATGTAAAATTTTAACATCAAAAGATCTAGTACCTATGGGTATATAAGTGAATTGAAGACACAATAACCTTAATCAATACAGAGTGTTGTGTGTCAGGAGTCAACCTGTGACTTAACACCTGCAACCTGTGACTATACACCTGCAACCTGTGACTATACACCTGCAACATGTGACTATACACCTGCAACCTGTAACGATACACCTGCAACATGTGACTATACACCTGCAACCTGTAGCTATACCCCTGCAACTTGTGACATTACACCTGCAACCTGTAGCTATACACCTGCAACCTGTGACTATACACCTGCAACCTGTAGCTATACACCTGCAGCCTGTGACTATGGAGCAGCAACCGGTAACTATACACCTGCAACCTGTGACTTTACACCTGTAACCTGTGACTATACACCTGCAACCTGTGACTATACACCTGCAACCTGTAGCTATACACCTGCAACCTGTGACTTTACACCTGCAACCTGTAGCTATACACCTGCAACCTGTCACTATACACCTGCAACCTGTAGCTATACACCTGCAACCTGTAACTATACACCTGCAACATGTGACTATACACCTGCAACCTGTAACTATACACCTGCAACATGTGACTATACACCTGCAACATGTAACTATACACCTGCAACATGTGACTATACACCTGCAACCTGTAACTATACACCTGCAACATGTGACTATACACCTGCAACCTGTAACTATACACTTGCAACATGTGACTATACACCTGCAACATGTGACTATACACCTGCAGCATGTGACTATACACCTGTAACATGTGACTATACACCTGCAACATGTGACTATACACCTGCAACCTGTAACTATACACCTGCAACCTCTGACTTTACACCTGCAATATGTGACTATACACCTGCAACATGTGACTATACACCTGCAACATGTAACTGTACACCTGCAACATGTGACTATACACCTGCAATCTGTGGGAATGTGGGTCTATATTGTCTATGCACCTCCAACATGTCAACGTTGGTCTACATTTTCTACACACCTGCAACATTTATCACTGTGGGTCTACATTATCTGCACACCAGAAACATGTATAAATGTGTATCTTGTTATCTATGCAACATGTAGTAAGGTGGATCTACACTGTCTACACACCTGCAAGATCTATTAATGTGAGTCTTTATTATCTATACACCTGCAACATGTAGTGAGGTGGATCTACATTGTATACACACCTGCAACATCTATTAATGTGAGTCTTTATTATCTATACACCTGCAACATCTATTAATGTGAGTCTATATTATCTATACAGCAGCAACATCTATCAATTTAAGTCTTTATTATCTATACACCTGCAACATGTATGAACATGGGTCTGCATTGTCTGTACATCTGCGGCCTGTGCTAATATAGGTCTACATTGTCTCTCGTTTGACACATGTGTCAGTGGGGGCCAGCATGGTTTATCATTTGACACTTGTCAATGTGGTCCTTCATTGTTTATCATTGACACTTGAATTGTCAATGTGGTCCTACATTCTCTATGATTTGCCACCTATATCAATGTTGGCCTACATGGTTTATTATTTGTCTCACCGATCTTTTTGTCTCTGTTGGTTTGTGGTCCATCTCTGTTTGCTGACAAGTGACATTGTGATCGTTTGCAGATCGATGCAAGTCTTCAAGACACCCAGGATAGATACAAACGGTTCCGTTCCAGTGGGAACTATGCCCCTGCAGCAGTAATACAAGTGAAGCCTGGGACCTTTGAGGAAGTGAAGCAGATTCACATGAAGCTGAACCCTGACCTGTACGCCCAACAGTTCAAGTACCCGAAGTTCATCAAGCATAAGGACGTTGTTGCTTGTCTCCTGTCCCACAGAGTCAGGTCTCCCAGCTGACCTGCTGATCTTCTGACGTGCCTGTTGTGTGCTAAATCATGTCATCTGCTGTTCTTCTTATATGCCTATTGTATGCTAAACCAAGTCCATCTGTTGAAATATTAATACAATTTGGTGTCAATCTCACTCAACTTCATTGATGTATGTGTTAACCGTGTTCAGTATGTTCAGAATAGTTTTGGAATAAAGTAAGTGAGTATTTTATGTCGCTTTTACCAATATTCCAGCAATACTGCGGGGGACACCTTAAATGGGCTTGACACATTGTACCCATGTCGGGAATCGAACCCAGGTCTTCGGCGTGACGAGCGAACGCTTTAACCACTAGGCTACCCGATTGCCCCTATAAATAAATAGAATGTATGAGATATGAAGTATGCAAGATATATGAAGTTTATAAGATAGAAGACGCATACAATGTATTTGAGTGAGTGAGAGAGGTTGGTTTAATGCCACTTTGAACTGTATTCCAGTTATATCACGGCGTGTCAGTTTAATGTGGTAGGAAAGCCCGAAGTGAAGTAGGGCTTAGACCTCTAACATATTGGCGAATCTCACGAAACACGGGTATGGTGCTGCCAAACCGAGAAATACAATCGGGACGAACCGGGATTCGAACCTGCGATCATTTGTTTCTAACGTTCACTACGAATTACAGCGCCTTTTGCGACTGGGCAACCCCTGCCCCCACGATGTATGTGTATATATATTGGTTGGTTTGTTGTTTAACGCCGCACTCAGCAATATTCCAGTTATATGTCTGTAAATAATTTAGTCTGGGCCCGACAATCCAGTGATTGATATCATGAGCATCCATCCACGCAATTGGGATCGATGACATGCATCAACCAAGTCAGCGAGCCTGACCACCCGATCCCGTTAGTCGCCTCCTACGACAAGCATAGTCGCCTTTTACGTCAAACATGGGTTGCTGAAGACCTATTCTACTCTATCTTATATAAGATGTACACAGTGTTTTAAGTATATGGCGTTTACGATGCACATGGTGCATGCATAGGTATAAAAGGAGTGTAAGGTGTGTGGCGTACAGAAGGAAGATAACACACTTTTTAACTATGTTACATTCAATAGATAGGATGAGCCGACTTTCAAGAAATTCAGAAATTACCCGTCTTGAGTGATATTTTCCTACACTCATGTTTAGTTTCCTGCTGAGCGTGTTGTTAGCATGAATTGTATAGATTAAGGTTGAAACATTTCTCATTAAATTTTATCACTTCAAATCATATCATACACGGATATGACTTGATGATGGTTTCACAATTGAAACAGAGCTGAAACAATGGCACATGCGTAATGATTTCCTGTACGATGTCCATACACACTCGAAAACTAACAGATACTCTATTGATGAATATTACTTCCTGTTACGGAAAGCAACATATTATAATACATATTCCACCTCTTTTTGGTTATACGGGAAGAGCATCCTTCCCTAGTGCTATACTCCCATCATAATGCATGGCTTTTGGTGTTATTAAACAAATCCCACTCATCGTCTATTTCTTAATATTACCATAAATGTCCACAAGATGCACACAAAATGCAATAAAACTGTCCTAGGTTGTTACCTTAGCATTTGTGAAGTACAGCTGTTAAAGTTGACATGTAAGTTGTCGAGTATTCTTCTCGGAATCCGGATTGAGCTTTAGACATTTTGTAAGAAGTTTTGTAATTCGAACCACAGTTTTAACCTCGTGTTGTTTATACTGGTCAATAGTCTTCCAACAATGTTAACCATTAGTCTAACATGGTCATAGACATCTGAGGTAAATCATAAGTTAATCCGTGCAATTTTGAAACGTGGGGGATGACAAAAGACATGTCTCCACATTCAACTACAATCCTAACACAAAATGAGGTATCTGTTTATCTGAATCATGGCATTAAGTCATATTTACATGTGAAATCTTTGTGTCCTGAATGACCAGCTCACTTCAAAAATGTAGTCTGGGAAACAGCTTAAGTCTGTCACAACTAGATTGATGAAACTTGTGTTGAACGTTCAATAACTCATTCTGAATAACCCATTCTGAATACAGAATATTTTAACTATGTTAGTTGGATCAATTTTGAATAAATGTGTGTTAACAATAGTATAAAGGAAAAAGGTTGATTGACGCATAACGCAGTATATGAGGTGGATAACGTATCAAATGTGTTAATGTTAATATGAGGGATTGAGTGAGTGAGTTTTGTTTAACGCCGCTTTTTACATTTATATCACGGCGTGGCAGCTTAATGTGGGAGGAAAGCCCGAAGTGATGCAGGTCTCAGACGTTAACCACTTCGGTGAAACCCACGAGCACGGGTATGGTGCTGACAAACCTAGAAACATAATCGAGGCGAACCGCGAATCGAACCCACAATCATAGGTTTCTGGCATGCCCAAGGGACGCAACTCTGCACAGCGAATCGCGGCGCGTTAGACGACTGGGCCAACCGTGCCTCCCATATGAACATGCAGGGATGATTAGATTCCAAACTATTAGAACTCAGCGAGAGGTGGTCATGATGTTCAACGTGTCTCAGTCTGTGATTTGTAGACTTTGGGACAGGTTTCTGCAGATACCAAAAATCTAATGTACATGCTCCTCGACCACGTGTTGTACCACCGTTAACAAATCTGCATATGCTTGCCCGACACAAATGCTGTACGAGGATAACAACGTGGTGAGTCGGCGAGTGTCTCGTGTAATGTTTTCAGATGAGTCCAGATTCAATCTGTACTTGCTGGATAGTCGTGGGCGTTTCTGGAGGCGTCCTAATGAACGTCAAGCGCTAGCGAACGTCAACGTAAGGCGACGTGACAGATTTGGGGGTTGGTCTATAATGATATGGGGCAGGATCACCCGGACATCCAGAACGCCACAGCATTTTGTCATTGAAAGAGTCACTGGAAGTACAACCGAAACAACCAAAGTACTTGCGCCAGTAGTTGTGCCGTTTGCGGGCTATGCTTGTCCAAGTTTTGTCGGGAACGCTCGTTCCCACCGTGAATAACTGACTATAGCAGCAAAGCATCACCAGAATGGAATGGCCAGTCATGAGTACTGACCATTCCCCCACAGAGCACGTCTGGGACATGGTCGGACGTGTACGTTGCCTCTCTGTGTTTCTGTAATCAACTGTTATTTTCGAAAATGCAATAATGCTTTGGAAAGTATACTTAAGCCTAGTTAACATGGGGACCAATCCTCATTGTGAACTACTAAACCGGTGATGGATTGATGGACATAAAGCGTTATGTGTACATGTTGCAGAGGATTTTCATTCTGTTAAAATTCATAAAATTATCGTGGGCGCTCATCTTACCACGTTCTGTATTATCGTTGAAATAACTAGGTTAATATGTTGACGAGAATGGAAAAGATGTTTTAACAATTACAAAAAACAAACATATTTATTTGATTAACCAGTAGATAAAGAAGTTATTAATTAGAGATGAGGAATATACGGATATTTTCATATGTGTTATGCTCAAAATAAATTTAAGCTTTGTTTGTAGTTAATTAACGCCGGCATTATTCCAACTATAAAACGGCGGCCTGTCAATAATCATGATTGACCAGGCACTCCGGAAGCACTGACAACTGGCATGCTACATGCACATGCCACCCAACCCCCTCTGTCCCCGCGCCTTAATCTCTGTATCAGTATCTTCACGGATCAGACAGGGATGTAAACTGCAACAGTTTCAGCAAATTTTAGACGAGAATAAAGGAAAACAGTCCTCAGTAAAATGCCATGTAGCGAAGTGTTATGTTATGTAAACTGACTACGAGGAAAACTATCCGGCAGTTAACGATAAGTTATCATTGACTCTCTTACATTGATGAACAACATGCCTGGTTATCGTAATACACACTTTCTCTATTTGTCAAGCAAGTTTCACTGACACATTAGTTCCTGGTTGTAAGATCCTGTTATCGAGAATATCCACTTTACTCTGCAAAGTGCTCTAAGAATAGAGTCATGTTTCCGTGAGTTACGTTATCTAACAAAAGAAAAAGGATCCCGATTCTAGTTCCTGCTGTGAACGAGTGTGTGAATCTAGATGCGGACTGCACCTACTGAACGAAGAGTGTTGAAATGCACAAACCCCCATCTGAGAAATATGACGTCTTATTGAGAGAGTCAATATCAAAAGCCTGTGATATGTGTTGTGAACAGACCATGGGAGCATGACTGTGAAGTAGACGGCTCTTGACCAACTGATGATTCAAAGGGAGATAAGTGTGACAACAAAATCAAGCTGTGTTTATGTTTTCTTTTCCGATGTGTTTCTCCCTGGAATTATCACTGGATCAATATTTTGACTGACCTCACGATTTTCGTTGTTGGAATGCGAGACGTATTGGGTGTTGGGAGGATACCTGGCAACAGCAATAAGTGTGTAACTACCTCAGTCGGTTCAAACTGATCCTATAACTTCAATGTGTTACGACAATGTTTCGAACTGGTGCCTTCAAAAAGCGAACGTTTGAGAAGATGGAAAACCTGCTGATAATTATACTGCTCTGTACTTTCACTGCTCATTGCAAAGGAGGTGAGTGTCACTTTAGTTCCTTTCCTTTGTTTATTTACAACATAATCCCACCACAGTTATTGTGTTAGGTTTAAATTACTTTTGGGGAATGTTTACATTTCATTAGTAAACAATGAACTGATCACGAGAAGAAGGAAAGCTAGTTATTCTGCTAATCTTTTGTGTGATTTCGTTTCTCACGTCATGGGTCCAGCCCAAAACAGAAGCTATACGATTGTGTATTTATAGCTGTCTCCCATACACCCCACCCCACACCACACTCTCATTCTTCCAACAGGCTATATACCCGTCACAAGAGTATCATGAAATATATATGTTATATTTGATACCCCGTATCAGAACAAAGTGTTGGCGACAAACATCCTGTGCAACAACGTTTTTGGCTGTACAATTTAACACAAAAGCACATCCGATAATTTGCAAGTGTTGTGTTGCACCTTTCAAATCGCCATTTTCCCAACAGACGTCAATGGTGTCCACAACGTCGAAACTTGGGTATTAGTCGCTGTTTTCGAGTCATGTTTTCAGATGAGTCCCGATTCACTTAGCACTTCTTTGATAGGCGTGGTCGTGGTCGTGGTCGAATCAAGCCCTTGTCTATCTAGGACCTCATCCCAGATTTGGTGGTACATCGGTTATGGCGTGGAGTGGCGTCACGATGACGAAAACCCACTCCATATTGTGCAAGGAAGGGTCACAGGACAGTACTATTGGGACAACATACTGACACTATGTTGTCCCGTTTGCAGGCCTGTGGGTCGAAGTTTCGTCTTTCAGGACGACAAGGCCCGTGCTCACCGTGCACAAATAGTCAATTCTCACCACCACCAGCGCTAGCACAACGTCGACAGAATGCCATGTCCAGCTGGGAGCACCAAGCGTTCCCCCATTGAACACGCCTGGGACATGACAGGGAGACGTGTCGTAGGTCGCCGACCACGATAGCTGAACTTGGCGGCCAGGCACTGCAAGAGGAGTGAGACATACTCCCTCAAATCGCTATTGGGAGACTCGTACGCAGTATGACTAGTTGAGTGAATGAGTGAGTGAGTGAGTGACGTTTAACGCCGCTTTTAGCAATATTCCAGCAATTTGACGGCGGGGGACACCAGAAAAGGGCTTCACACATTGTACCCATGTCGGGAATCGAGCCCGGGTCTTCGGCGTGACGAACGAACGCTTTAACCACAAGTCTACCCACCCGCCCGCTGAGTGAATGAATGTTTGACAAATTATTCTCATCATACAGCTATTACTTGAAGCTAATATCTCATACAATTTGGAAATTTTAAGTTTTAAGACATATTAGTTTGAAATGAGTATCATAAACCTTATCTAACATAATAGGCACACTTGACCATTGAGTACGTTCCCGTAGTAAACTGGTATCATTCACTTATTGTTGTTTCATTTTCCCCTTTATCATCATCGTCAGGTGTTTGAGGACGTTCTGTATTGCAGGTTCCTTGCATCTCTTCAGTTCTCCACCCACCGCAACAGATGGCGGCCTCTTCACCCTGGTATGCACCAATAGAAGTCGTGGTATCAGTGGTATGAAGTGGTATCTGGATGACAATGAAGCTTTCACTACCAATGCCGAGGGAGCAAAAGAAACGTGCTCACTGGGGAAACCAAGCTCTTCTCCAATCAAGTCCATGACAGATCGTGTCACAGTTAGCTGTGACAACCTTCAACACAATGTGACTCTCACAATAAACTCAAAGATAGACAATGGATCTGTGTGGTATTGTGAGGATAATGCTGTGACTGGCACTCCACAGGTTACAAGACCAAATAGTAACAGACTAACTATCTGTAAGTGTTCATTGTTTGTTTTCACATGCTGCCACCTTGTTTATCAATAATAGTGAGTGACATCACTGTGACATTCATTAGTTTGTTTTCTCATTTGTCAGGCCTGGATTTCTTCCTTCACGATTATTATATTTAATGTCATCGATTGTAATCAAATATTTTGCTATGTTAACCACTATTTACTTTGAGTTATCCAGCAACCTTGTCTTGTTTTCAAGATGTAACGAGTGTAGGACGTACAAGTACCTGGACATATGGATCGTCAACGTCGTCAACGTCGTCAACAGCGTTCGGGCCCTCTGATGTGGACAACAACAGTACAGATACACAAAACAGTAACATGATCTGCCATGTCTAGAACTTTGTTAACAACATTTCAAAAATACACATTAACGAATTTTGAGTGTATTGGCACTGCACAATACTATTCCATTGATTCTGGTAAAACGAAAATGACTATTCGAACACCCGTAGAATTCTAAACACAAAGGCAAAAGATGATACAAGCGAACATAAAAAGAAGGTATCCTATAGTTAATTATTTTAAACATAACGTCATGTGATGTTCTGTATTTTATTATCAAGTTGTGTATATATAGTACAGTGTGATATAAAGGTAATCATGAAAGATTCTTTACGAAAATAAAATCAACATCATGTATGTAAATTTAAGATTTAAAAAATATAATTTGGATATTAGTATTAGGGAAACGATAAATACATTGAGAAAACGATTCAACAGTTGATCAACAAACACATCCTGCTTGAAAAATTACTTAAAGTTGATAGATTTCAAAATTTATGTATGTTGAAAATGTTGTTTTGTTGTATTATTATCAAGTTGTTTACGCTGCGGCTGGAGGAGGCCTAGGAGGGGGAGGTGTCTTCATCATGGTCTTCATCCTCTGAGTCGTGTGTGTCAGGAGAAGGAGGCATCGCACCTGTAACGGTATCGTCTATCAAGTCTATCCATGAAACAAATTATGCAAAATTGAAATTAATCAATTCTGATTGGTCAATCGAAGGTTTCACAAAAAAAACACCTCTGATTAAAAAAAGATAATTTGACCGCCGTATCTTCGCGAAAGCTAATATTTATAGAAAAGTACTCAGTGATTGTCGTAAAATTCTACATTATAATATGTAATTATGAAATCACAGGTCACAAAACGCCATGTGGCGGTCACTGTAATCTTCAAACTACTTGTGGCAATGCAGTTAGGACAGAAAAGACAATAAAAATCGACGAAGATAGTGTATTTATTGGGATAACAGAGAGTTTGACACATGTTATCCATCCTAATGAGCGACAACGTTCCATTTAAACCCGCGATGTAACAAAACCTTGCGAAGCTTGTTTAATTTACCAACGTTATGTTGGATTACGAATTTGCTGTGCTACGTACTTTCGATACCAACAATTGGTCCTTCTCTTTAATCTCTACTTGTATATTGTCACCTAGAGTTCCATGCGACCAGCACAGTACCTCTGCCAAAGGCCAGCGCCATGTGACGATTCGTCACACCTTTCACAGTCTTTAAGATATTGCATATGTTTTCTATCTGTCTCATTTTTGACAAGTCTACATATCTAGATAAAAATATGTCATAATATTGTTGACATTCATTGAGAAAATATCATTGGTTGCTTCACGTGCTGTCATCGAAGCCCTTCGGAGAGCTAGCGATACAGTCACTTTTGATGTGCAAATATGCATTGTCATGCAACTCACTGTCGCAGTTGTAGTAGCATATTTATATAACTATGCAAAATAATATGTACTTGCATTCGTCCGTTCCATTCTGATTTCCGAAATAAGGCGCGTTTGTTTACAAACAAGAGAAAAGTCTGGTCACGTGATATGCAAATTAGCCTGTGGCAGTGGTGTTTTGCTGAGTCATCACTGCGCCGGAGTGTTGTATATAGTAACAACAGTTCCTTCCGCTAAACAGCTATACACACTGAGTATCAAACGAAGGTGATGATCATGAATCGTGTACGTTTTGAAATAATAATTCAAGGATAATGTTTGTCTTCGTACATTTCTTAAGCACCCAGCGTGAAGGAGAATCGGCATCCATCAACCACTGAGAACGGACTCAGGTGAGTGTTTTACCATTATTGCGAATTCCAGACTCGGCGTTATTGTCAACACCCTATCCACTTTCACCCAAGTTTAAACTACTACTGGTCAGCTAGGATAAGTTGAGATGTGATCTGACAATTAACCCTATATGACTATGTATGAGGTCAGCCCACTGGGGCGTACCATTGTGAAGGAAGGGGTAGCGGGTGGTCCGCGACAAGTAGTACGATGGATATGTGCGTGTCCTGTCTCGGCTAAAAACTAGTTCTAGTGGCGAGTTCGATAGCACATAATAGTGGTGCTGATGTCAGGTACCCGATTACTGTGAAAACGGAACACCAAATCTGCAACAATTGAAGCGCTGTGAAAATAGAATAGTTTCATCAATAAATAAAGATGATTGGCCGGTTCTCATTTCGGTATTTTTTTATTACTCGTAAGTACTGTATGCGGTTTGCAACAATATCTTTCCCTTCCATTAACACCCTGCGATTTGACTGCGTTTTACACCATCGAAATCCCATATGTTTTATTGATAACCGTAAGCTTCCTAAAAATCCCTCATAATTAAAATCAGTTTTCATCATGTCATATATACTATCTAGAGTTGGCAGTTGCTTCGCACTACATACCAATTATATACAAATTAGCGAACAGCGCCCTGGTCGAAATCGTCAATTCTGGATTTGAACACTGGACGACTTCGCGATCTACTTGGGTTGATCTGGTCTGATGCACTGTTCCTAGATACGGACAGACCAGTGATAATGCAAGCTTGTGACAATGCTTGAGATTTATTTGTACATTCTCAAGACCCACAAGGCGCTGTTGCAATGTTGCAGAAATAAGTTTGTGTCCATAATTCGGGTAAGCTACAGAGCCACGTGGCTCTATTTATATTTGTATAATAACGAATTCTCCCTGATTTCGTCTGCATGGTGTGCTACCCAACTATTATAATTGTCAAGATTACCCACGGAGTAATCATCGATCCCAGATAAGAGAGTTTCATTTCAAAGTTTTCATTTAATCAAGTGAATTCTAAACATTCAATAGAATGTTCTTTTGTATTACGTGTCAAATCTGCACATTGTGTCAGCATCTTTGTAATCCATGAACTGACAAAATTAAAAAGCTATTTGAATGTTATTGTTGAGAATAGATATTTACACATTTCTTCAGCAGATACATATTAATGTTGCATATTTCTTTCAGAAATTCAGCTTTCCAAAACGACTCAAGTAACGAAGATATAATGGGTGTGTAATTTTTGTATTACTTTTTTGACAAAATGATTTATAATCTCGCATATACATTCGTAAACTGGATAAATAAACCAATAAATATTGATGCATGCACGAAGTGGTTTTGGCAAACATAAAAAAAAAAATATTGGTGAGTTTATATTGAAACTAATCTCGGTTGTTTGCAGTGGAGAATGACCTGTATCAGAGATCGTCAGTTGTCAGTCCGGCCAGCGACAATCTCGGAAATACAGATGGGGTCACAGGTTCGCAGAATTTAGCTGCTCTGTGCGGAAATTACTTAATCATAGAAACGACAACATTTCGTTTTCATAACCTTTTGCGGAGCACGCACCTATCCAGGTATATCACGTTAAATACATGAGTTGGCCTACAGTGGACATGGGGCCAGTGTATGTGACGTAACTTGTATCTACTCAACATAAGTCCCGTCAAGATCCGGGTTAGAACAGGTCTTCAGCATCCCATGCTTGCCCTTAGAGGTGACTAACGGGATCGGTTGGTCAGGCTCGCTGACCTGCATAGATCGATGATCCCAATTGCAAAGATCGATGCTCATGCTGTCAGTCAATTGATTGGCTAGTCCAGACTCGATTATTTACTGAACGCCGTCATATGGGTGTAATATTACTGAGTGCGACCGTAAACAACAAACAAACAAATAATTACTCTTACATAATACTCTCAATCTCTGTTCAGATATCTACGCCAAGGTGAAGCTAATATTTATAGAAAAGTACTCAGTGATTGTCGTGAAATTTTACATTATAATATGTTATTATGAAATCACAGGTCACAAACCGCCCTTTTTGCGGTCACTGTAATCATCAAACTACTTGTGGCACTACATTTTGGGGTAGAAAAGACAATAAAAATCGACGAAGATAGTGTATTTATTAGGATATTAGAAAGATGGAAATTTGCCGCTTTTCTATTCAAGACTGTGACAATTGTTATGCATCCTAATGAGCGACAACGTTCAACCTTAACCCTTGATGATACCAACAATTGGTCCGTCTGTTTGATCTCTACATGAATATTGTCATGAATATGTCATGAATATTCTGATTTCTGAAAAGCGCGTTTCTATACAAACAAGAGAAAAGTCCGGTCACGTGATATGCAAATTAGCCTGGCAGTGCATCTTCCCGAGGCAAGAGAGTTAACTGACCTTAAAAGTCCAGTTTCCACCCTTGCCGAACTTGGCTGTAATTACTGGGCTCGATCGTAGCGCCACCAGTGACTATTACCAGTTATGACCCTTCTAAGCCTCTCATATGGACCAATCAGATTTCACCTCTTGCACTTGCATTTGCTTTACACAAAATGGTGGCGCCCAGTCAGGACGATCTGATCGATAATCAATATCTACATTGTGATAAAACGGGTCTTACATCGCGAAATGCATAAAAGCACATGAGCACCTTGATTAAAAACATAATAGGATTTGGAAAATATCTGCTGACAACGAGTTGGTAGTGCACATGCTTTGCAAATCCTGCAATCGACCGAAAAGTGCACGACGTTTTACGAACCGGATTTCGATTTCGGTTCGCGATTTTGATTGGACTATGCGAAGACTCGTTAGTCCAGCCAAAATGTAACCCTATAAACCAGCCTAGTTCGGCAAGGGTGGAAACCGGACTTTTATAGTCAGTTAACTCTCTTGCCTCGGGAAGATGGTGGCAGGGGTGTTATGCTAAGTCACCACTGCGCCGGAGTGTGGTATATTGTAAAACAGTTTCAACCGCTTAACAGCTATACACACTGAGTATCAGACGAAGGTGAATTATGTACGTTTTTAAACTGTATATCAATAATAATTCAAGGATAATGTTTGTCTTCGTACATTTCTTAAGCACACATCGTGAAGGAGAATCGGCATCCACCAACCACTGAGAACGGACTCAGGTGAGTGTTTTACCATTATTGCGAATTCCAGACTCGGCGTTATCGTCAACACCCTATCCACTTTCACCCAAGTTTAAACTACTACTGGTCAGCTAGGATAAGTTGAGTTGTGATCTAACAACATAGATAACAACATTTGAAGCGCTGTGAAAATAGAATAGTTTCATCAAATAATTGGCCGGTTCTCATCTCGGTTTTTTTTTATTACACGTTAGTACTGCATGCGGTTTGCAACAATATCTTTCCGTTCCATTAACACCCTGCGATTTGACTGCGTTTTACACCATCGAAATCCCATATGTTTTATTGATAACCGTAAGCTTCCTTTAAAACCCTCATAATTAAAATCAGTTTTCATCATGTCATATATACTATCTAGAGTTGGCAGTTGCTTCGCACTACATACCAATTATATACAAATTGGCGAACAGCGCACTGGTCGAAATCGTCAAGTTGGGATTTGAACACTGGACGACTTCGCGATCTACTTGGGTTGATGAAACTACTCTCGCGTTTGTCAAGAGCGATACCTTCTGGTCTGATGCGCTTTAGCTAGATACAGGCGGACTAGTGGTAATGCAAGCTTGTGACAATGCTTGAGATTTATTTGGACATTCTCAAGATCCACAAGGCGCTGTAAGCTGGAACTATAATATGTGTGAATAATAATGACAAAAGAAATGTTAAGTTTGTTTAAGAAACCATGATTGACACTCAACCATCGGCAATGTTGCAGAAATAAGTTTTTCCTATGTAACCATTATAAAATTGAAAAGATATAAAAGGTATGTGTCCATAATTCAGGTAAGCTACAGAGCTACGTGGCTCTATTTGTATTTGTAAAATAACGAATTCTTCCTGATTTCGTCTGCATGGTGTGCTACCCAACTATTATAATTGTCAAGATAACCCACGGAGTAATCATCGATCCCAGATAAGAGAGTAAACATATTTGTCCTTTTAGATTGGATTTGACAGTTAAGGTGTGAATTTTAACTTTCATTTCAAAGTTTTCATTTAATCAAGTGAATTCTAAACATTCAATAGAATGTTCTTTTGTATTACGTGTCAAATCTGCACATTGTGTCAGCATCTTTGTAATCCATGAACTGACAAAATTAAAAAGCTACTTGAATGTTATTGTTGAGAATAGATATTTACACATTTCTTCAGCAGATGCGTATTAATGCTGCATATTTTTTTCAGAAATTCTGCTTTCCAAAACGACTCAAGTAACGAAGATATAATGGGTGTGTACATTTTTTTATTACTTTTTTGACAGAAAAGGATTTATAATCTCGCATATACATTCGTAAACTGGATAAATAAACCAATAAATATTGATGCATGTACGAAATGGTTTTGGCAAACATAAAATAAAATATTGGTGAGTTTATATTGAAACTATCTCGGTTGTTTGCAGTGGAGAATGACCTGTATCAGAGATCATTAGTTGTCAGTCCGGCCAGCGACAATCTCGGAAATACAGTTGGGGTCACAGGTTCGCAGAATTTAGCTTCTCTGTGCGGAAATTACTTAATCATAGAAACGACAACATTTCGTTATCATAACCTTTTGCGGAGCACGCACCTATCCAGGTATATCAGGTTAAATACATGAGTTGGCTTAGAGTGGACATGGGACCGTTGTATGTGACGTAACTTGTATCTACTCAACATAAGACCCATCAAGATCCGGGTTAGAACAGGTCTTCAGCATCCCATGCTTGCCCTAAGAGGTGACTAACGGGATCGGTTGGCCTGCATAGATCGATGATCCCAATGATAGATCGATGCTCATGATGTCAGTCACTTGATTGGCTAGTCCAGACTCGATTATTTACTGAACGCCGTCATATGGGTGTAATATTACTGAGTGCGACCCTAAACAACAAACAAACAAATAATTACTCTAACATAATACCCTCAATCTCTGTTCAGATATCCATGCTAAGGTGAACAAAGTTCAGAAAGATATACCAGAACCGCCCACTGTTCCTGTTATCGTCAGTCCTATCCCTGGAAATGATCTGGCTGAAGAATTATAAATATATAATATATATTTGTTTTTATTTTAGTTGACAATAAAAGTGTTCCAAGTCTAAATATATAAGATACAACTTGCAGTTATTCATTCATTAACATCATTTTAACTTTGGAACTGTGTATGTATAATACCTCTTGTGGGGTACAGTGGATTAGCCGTCGCTTGTCATGTTGAAGGTCCGGGTTCGATTCCTAACATGTCTGCAATACGTGACGCCAATTCCTGGTGACCCATGCCGTGATATTGTTGGAATATTGCTACAAATACAACATTCTCTTCTGTCACACCCCTAACACACTCTAAACATCCCTTTCCGCCCCCTATCACACCCCTTGCCCATACATATACAGGTCTAAACATAGCCTTACGCCCCCTGTCACACCCCTTCCACACAGACACACGGTAAACACCCCTTTCCTCATCCTGTCACACCTAAATCCATACCTTCCCAATTCTGTCACATCCCAAGCCACACCTTCCCCACCCTGTAACATCAAAGTCACACCTGACTCATCCTGTCACACCCCAAACCACACCTTCCTCATCCTGTCACACCCCAACCACATCTTCCCCGTTCTGTCACACCCCAAACCACACCTTCCTAGCCCTGTCACCTCCCAAAACACACCTTTCCCATTCTGCCACACCCAAAACCACACCTTCCCCATTCTGTAACACCCCAAACCATATCTTCCTGACCCTGTCACCCCCAAATCCACACTTTCCCCGCCTTGTGGGGTTTTTGGTTGTGACAGGGTGGTGGGTGGGCGTCGGATGCTGGGAGGATTGGGGCAGACAAAGCAGGTCTTGACATTGACCTATCCCAATAACTTCAGTTGTGAATATAATATTAACATAGACAACAACCCTTTAAGCAACACGTCCATGCATCACAGATATGACAAACCAGTGTCTACCAGGTAGTGTCACTGTGTCACCCCAGCCACGATAACTCTGTTACTTGCTAACGTACGTGTGTACTATATTGTTTTGTAAATTGAATGCTTTTTATCTTTTGTGCCGATTGTAAAACCATTCGACATGTTAACAATTGTACCTGCACTGTGAAAGAATAAATACAAGTTCAAATGATATTCAGTAATTGTCTGTTTCAACAGCTCATCAGCTGAGCACTCTCTGTTGGTGAGATTACTACTCATACCTTTTGTATTACAAACGGAAATATCCCTATCCATGATATTACCTTTTAAACAAGGCACATAAAATTCCTAAGAGGGCTGGTCAAAAAGATCTAATCGCAACAAACAAAACCAACGATTGTGAAATTGTTTTTAATTATATTTTTCAACAGAATCTCCCTGCTTTACAATACACTTATCATATCGATAGGGAGCTTTTCAATTCCAGTCAGGAACAAGTTTTCTGAACCCATCTGAAAAACAACAACCAAAAACATTCACTGCAGCCTTGATGTCATCGTTGTCGTCATAGCGCTTTCCACAAAGGTGTTCTCTCAGTTTAGAAAACAGGTGACAATCACTTTGTGTCATGTCTGGCGAGTTTGGAGGATGAGGAAGCCCTTTGAACCTACATTGTCGCACGGAGACTCTGCAAGTCGAGAGGTGTGAGAAGAGGCATTGTCATGATGTAGTAGAACTCACCGCATTTCTTTGATAAAATCTCCAGTAATCAATCAACAAGGATCACACCCTTTGTATCCCAAAATGCAGTGGCCTCAACTTTCCTCACTGATCTTGAAAACTTGAATGTGTTTGATGCCGGAGAAGTGGAATAGTGCCATTCCATGGAATGACGTTATGACTCGGGATCAGATGGAGTCAGTTGTCTAGGTCGATCTCTTGTACAGCTTCGAACTTCTGAGATACCGTACACATTTAGCTAAGTGCCTTCGTTCGTTCATGATGATTTTGATTTTCTTCCAGCTATTTGACAAAACAGCTTGTGAAAACTGAGTGACAAAATATTGCCAGGTGAAGCTCCAACGCTATTTGCATGTCCAACCAAAGTATCTACGCAAAGTAAGACAAACAGACATCGTTATCGTCGTTTGTCTTGTGTTTTACTTGCAGGAAGACCATGACAGTGTAGTATATGTACTACATATTTATATACTAGTATATCTTACCTTGGGGTAATTTTCTTGCTGATAGTTATTGTGCATTATTCTACTTCAAATCACAGGATTACATTTGTGAACGTGCAGCACCTTTGAGAGATGATGTGATAAAAGAAAACCGATTTAATATTATATAATAGATATTTTTGTTTTTTTTTCTTTATTTTTGTGTACAGTTCTACTCCTGGTAAATGATTCCGCTAAACCAAACTACAATTGTCTGGTCACATTCATAAGTGCTAAATAAGTTTAACCTTAAACCTTACCAACCTATGAGATACATAACTCTTATGAATTTATTCAATCAAACATCTTTGATTATATTATCAACACATATCCCTTTGACCAGAAGTAGCATACAATGTTTTTGTTTAGTTTTGTTTGTTTTGCAATCAAACATGTCACCAGCCCAATAACCCGATCCATTTGGTCGCCTCTTACGACTAGCACACATGGAACAATTCTAACCCAGAACACCCACTGGCTTGTATTCCTGTTGAAGCACAAGACAACGTTTTTAAGAGTTAACTTTGTTGACTGTTGACTATATACAGTAGTGGATGTACATATGTATGACATAGAATGACATTAAATCGTTGACAAATGGCTTAACAGAAGAGATGTGGTTGCATTTGAGAAATAGAAAGGGTCATGGATAATGTAGCGTGTCTGTGATATAGATATGAGACACGTGGTTTGATTTTCTGTCACATTCTTGTTCTGTTCTGAGGTGAAAGTCTGTCTGCAGGACTGTTATATCGTGTTATGTTAATTCCTCTGGTACTCGACTGCGAGTGTTATTTCACTGGTCTTCTTTGCTTGGCCTGCTGACACGCTGCACATATGCAGGCTGTGCTAACAAGGATGAACATACTTCCACACGTCGTTCCAAACATAATGTAATTGTATACATTTCTGTCAGTAAAGCCTGAAACAAAATAAAATGATCCTGAAAACTATTGACAAATTAGTTTGGTATGCTGATAACTGGTAACAATGTTAAGAAACAAATCTCAGAAGTAATTAAAGTACAATCTGCTCTGTTAGTTTTTGTTTCCGCTGCATGGGTGAACCAGTCGTCTCGGGCACCGCAGTTGTCAATGTCTGGAAGGATCGGGTGGTTAGGCTCGCTGACTTGGCTGATGCATGTCATCGTATCGAAACTGCGTGGATCGATGCTCATGATATCAATCACTGGATTGTCTGGTCCAGATTCGATTATTTAAAGACCGCCGTCATAAAGCTGGAATAGGGCTGAGTGCGGCGTTAAACAGGAAACAAACACAACTTACCCAGCACAGTGTAGGGAGGGTCCTCTGGGTGTGTGGCTGCTGTTGCTGCTGAAGCTGCAGCTGAGGACGTTGTGACTTTACTGTAATCTTTCACTGAGATGAAATAAAACAAATATATACACATATATTTAAAGAGGACTTGGTCTTCATTCACTAAGAAAACCATTGTACCACTATTAAGTAGCGAAACACCAGTAGCTGTGATTAACAATGCAATTCTGCAAGTTAAAGCTTTGGCCAATAGATAGTGTCAAGGTTGCATGTAGCAGCGTGGAATGCGTGAGTGAGTTGGTGTGTTTTTGTCGAAGGTAGCATTTATCCAGATACATCACAGCACACCGATACTAACTGTATCAGACCATACAGGTCAGTAATATCTTACCTATGAGGTCACAATGTCACACGATCAGCCAGGTCACACATTGTTACCATACAGTCCTCTTTAGACGGTTTGTGAATAGGGGTTCCGGCTGTAGTGACCTATACTAACCCGGAATTCCGGATACGCTAGCATCGTAACCATATGATTGCCTAGACATGTTAACAGTCACCATAGACAACTAGATTTTGTTAATAACTGAAACACGAACACGTTACGCGATAGAAACTTGATTTTGGATACTGGGAACGTGAGAAGAAAATATAACATGATCTCTCCTTTATGCATAGCCACGGTTTCTGGAGTCTTCCTTGTTCGCCCAGATAACACGGAAGGTGTATCCATTACTTAACGATCTGAATAGTGCGAGTAGTATGTATGTATTGTCACGTAGAAAGAATTACCTTGGTCATTGCTGTCTGTTGGTTGGCTATTGGTCATCGTTGTGGCCGTCTCACTGGTGAGAGTGACCTCTGTTGCATCGCTGTTGGCAACACCTGTACAATTATGTCAATTTATATTTATCTAATTTATGACATTTATATATGTAGCTAATTATGCAGTAAATTGTCTGTAGTAGATAGTTATATAAGTGTAATGATTCAAGGTTCGGAAGGGGGCACGGGTGGCCCAGTCGTCTAAGGCGCCGCGATTCGCTGTGCAGAGTTGCGTCCCTTGGGCACGCCAGATACCTATGATTGTGGGTTCGAATCCAGGTTCACCCCGATTATGTTTCTAGGTTTGTCAGCACCGTACTAGTGCTCGTGGGTTTCACCGAAATGGTAAACGTCTGAGACCTGCATCACATCAGGCTTTCCTCCCACATTAAGCTGACACGCCGCGATATAACTGGAATACTCTTAAAAGCGGCGTTAAACCCATCCATAAGTACCTGCTAAAGGTTCATGCAGAAGGCGGACATTTGAAGTGTAATGGTTTACTCACCAGTTGTTGATGTTGATGTGGCAGTCTGGAGAGTCAAGCATGACATCAGTATCAGAAGTGTGTTCATGTTATATGCGAGATGGACCACGTCAAGAATTCAGGAACCCGACAAGCTTGATGTTATAGATGGGCTCCGGTCCCTGCAGCAGTGTACCAGGGTTCAGTTGTGACAAGGAACACAGCATAAGTACAACGTCCTTCTTTGTCAGGGATGTCTATCTGCCTCGTGGCACTGGACGCCTTGGAACAAGAGAGTTATCTTGTTTTTGTTATTCCACCGGTCACCTCGAAATATTTATCAAGATACAGACTTACTATGTGTTGGAGTTTGCAAAACACACATTACTCATGTGCCACTTTGAAATACAGTGTAAATATCAAACCAAAATGATGTTCAAAAGCTTCCGTGTAGATATGATTGAACTTCCAAACGTACTATGGCGCTCGTTATGTTTGTCCACAGTTGACATGTCATTGTCTGTCCCTATCGTGTTACTGTTGAATACATAAGGATAACATTCACAATTATCAGATAGATTTGTATCGGTCTATATATAGGGGAGTAAACATGTGCCATTGTACATGGTGTTTATGTGAGTAGTATAACATATCAGTGTCAACGTTGAGCCATATTACTTTGTTTGTTTGTTTGTTTGTTTGTTGTTACGCCGCACTCAGCAATATTCCAGCTATATGGTGTCGGTCTGTACATAATCGAGTCTGGACCAGACAATCCAGTGATTGACATCATGAGCATCGATTCACGCAACTGGGATACGATGGCATGCATCAACCAAGTCAGCGAGCCTGACCACCCGATCCCGTTAGTCACCTCTTATGACAAGCATAGTCGCCTTTTACGGCAAGCATGGGTTGCTGAAGACCTATTCTACCCCGGATCTTCACGGGTCGAGCCATATGGCAAACCTTGGTTGACTGTTGGGTTGACTCCATTGATTGTGATGAAGAGGAATATCTTTAGGGACATTTTAGAAGCTGTGGTATCAAGGAAGATAGAATTTAGTTATTCATTTGAATTATTTCAACTTCTTTATTCTTGCGACGTGTCGGTATATATGCTATTTATTTTATCCAGCAAGCGATCAATACCTTGGTGGGCATGGATGCATATCTAAGATTATATATGCACAGGGATTAATTTTACACAAATAAACAAGGGTTACTCTAGATGATGGGATGAAGACAAAGTACGAAGACTGTAACAACATTTGCAGAGTGTAGATACAGTGCGTGTTTCTCGCGCTCCGTAGTCTAGTTAGTCTTTGACGTAGGTGTATTGCCGCGTTATACCTCTGTATGAGGTAGTGGTTTGGACTGAAAACTAGATATAATATACACGGGTGGCGCATTATATAATACCTAGTTATCTAGGATGGGAACACACTGACAGCGTCGGATTTATGATCGGAACACACTGACAGCGTCAGATTTAGGATCAAAACTTACTGACAGCGTCAGATCTAGGATCGAAACACACTGACAGCGTCAGGTATAGGATCGGAACACACTGACAGCGTCAGGTATAGGATCGGAACACACTGATAGCGTCAGGTATAGGATCGGAACACACTGAATTCGCTGCATCGAAGATCAATACATGCTGGGTTTTTTAAACCTAGGGTTGAGAATGGTGTGTTGACAGGTTTTCGAACTCACGAAGAGTCCATGTGATCTTCCTCTCCTTATCACCTGACAGGACGATACAGAACAGATTCACACATCCACTGGTAGAGCCATCAGCGATGAAGATACAGATCCTACTTGCCAACACAACTTTATCACAAAAGAGACATGTTAGGAGGGGCGGTCGGGTAGCCTAGTGGTTAGGCGTTCGCTCATCACGCCGAAGACCCGGGTTCGTTTCCCGATATGGGTACAATGTCTGAAGTCCATTTCTGGTGTCCCCCGCCGTGATATTGCTGGAATATTGCTAAAAGTGGCGTAAAACCATACTCACTCACTGTTATAGACAGGACACACGACTGAACTTTGACTAATTATAAATAACAGCTTCTGTCTATAAGAGCCAGTTACATTCATAATTCATATAATAATAACAAACAAAAAATAATACTGCTGTGGTGATAACACGGGTGATTCACATGTACTGTCGTGTACCACTATTAAATGGACAGTCCCTGATTTGTTTGTTTGTTTGTTTGTTTCTGTATGGTCGACGTCAGTATCTGTTACTAATGATGTCCAGACGTTGTCCTCAGTAATCTTAACAAGGATAATTCTAGGGTGGGGCCTTGTGCTATAGCCCCTAAATTTGAAAAAAGGCCCACATTTTCAAATACAAGGGGTATTTTAATATCGTGCTGTATAGGCGTACCTCTGCGATATTTGAAATGTTCACATAAAGGGCCCATGTCACAACACTCCCAGAGTGAACCCTGACTTTGTTGCTGTATAGTGTAATATCAGTAGCTGATGAAAGACACGCCATAATTAATCGAATGGTGTCTTCAGATAAATTGTTGTTGGTCAATGATGATGGGGTAGCCTAGTGATTAAATGTCGCTTATCCCACTTCAAATAGAGGACTGATAAACAGAAGGTTATCCATGAACCGTGATAACTCCTATTTAATAGCACAAGTCGACACACGCTCACATTTGTATTATACTGTCTATATAAAAACCACCCAACCATGTTATCACAAGAAAAATACGCAAAGACAGTTTCTCATTGATGGATGCCATTTGTAGACACCAACCATTTAAACATATCATCTTTCCTTGGGGATGTACATTATAACTGTACACTCTTCTCACATCACAAACCTGTCGATCATATCTTGTATTTCACTTCCTGCATCATAGAGTTCAGTCTGATCACATTGAAACGAGGATGTAAATCCGCGAGTTTTGTCGTTTTGTGACGTATACTCTAGTATCACGGCATTTCTGAACATTTCGAATTAGATAACAGATTGATGTATTGTGATTATATTACTGTAACGTAACACATGGATGGCCGTATTGGTGGATGTTGTGAAGGTACGTTTGCCCTGTAGGTTGCACGTAGGTCGACAGATTAATGGATATTATTTTCACATGCTGAACAAAAAATAACTTGTCTTTGCAACTTGTTCAACAAACGCGAAACTGCTTATGTCGATTACATTATTTATATTAAAATGTTTAAATTGGATTTTACAATTAACAGAAGTATAAAATAAATCGGTACCAATCGATGTAATGAAAACCGGACATTTCGCCGATTCCTAGCTCCAGTGTATGATTGTCAGCACCATACCTGTGCTCGTGGGTTTCACCGAAGTGGTAAACGTCTGCGACCTGCATCACATTGGGCTTTCCTTCCACATTAAGCTGCAAGCCGTTATTTAACTGGAATAATGTTAAAAGCGGCGTTAAACCCATCACTCACTCACGTGTAAGAGGGAAACGGCCTAATTCACGACTGACGGAACGGTTGTGACATAACCGCACGCTGGCCGACAGACCAGCTGAGTTGAAACGGATGAAATGGTTTCATCACATCACTGAACGTACTTCCGATTTATCGCACATCTTTGTACTCAAATTCTGTCTGGTACCCACACTCCAGTTCAAAAGAACTGCATTATTTGGGGTCGCTTTTAGATAATGGTTGGACCGTCCCAGCCGTTCAGTCGTTATATCCGGGGTGGACTGTGCATGTGTATCGGACGAGTAGCATTGAAGGCTTCACACGGGACAGAATTCAAATGGACCATGCCCAGAATTTTTACAATATTCTGAAATCGAGATGCGGAAGCTTGTTCATTACACATGCAAGTGTAACCAGTCGCTGCATCCTGTTTTTCTAGAACTCATCACTCTTTGACAGTTAATCAGATATTTATGAAGAGAACAGCATTTAATTTCAGGAGCAATCACAATCATTTCACAACTTTGACTTCGAATTCCTGGCTTCAGTGTTCTAAATTCTCCTACATTTGCCTAGATTTATGAGAAACACTCCTCTGGATAACACCTCGTTTCATTTCTAAATACAAATCTATGTTTGTTTATGTCATTGTAACAAAACAACTTTTCATGGATAATTTGTAGTGAGTGAGTTAATATTTAAAGTTAAATCGGCAATATTTCAGCCATATAGTGACTATGGATAATTTGTAAGTTAACATTTTGTCACAACTTAGACTCTCGGTATGGATAGTCAGAGAGCTATCAGGATCGATAATAATTATATGACAGGTGACGTCACATTCACTAATGACCAGCTTGTAGGGATATGTAAGGCATGTGATTTGTTTGAGTGTTTTTGTTCTTAGCTTTATATGTACCAATACAAAATAGTGTCCATAAGGAATGCTCTTCTCGATATTCTAATATATCTGGAATTAAAATAAACTGTATTATCCAGACACTACACGTGTTTCAGAAGCAACTGGTTTTCATCTGTGAATGACGTATATATATATATATATCTATATATATCTATATATATCTATATCTATATCTATATATATATATGTAAATATAACCCTAAACTACAGAGGCGACTGTGGACCATGAATTCGCTCCCAATTGCGTGGATCGATGCTCATGATGTCAATCACTGGATTGTCTGGTCTAGACTCGATTATTTACAGTCCGCCGTCATATAGCTGGAATATTGCTGAGTGCGGCGTAAAACAACAACCAAAGCAACCAACGAAACTACAGTACACAGGATGTCAAACAATGCTTCCTTGTTCCGCCATGTACTCCAAATAATAAGCTCTTCTAGGTCATCCTGATATGAAATAAGCCATGTTTCTCACTTCCCGATTCAATTTATCATATATTGAAAATTATTCACTGTGTGTGTCTTTTCCTCTGAAAAACGTACCACCAAAGTTCTTTAAAATATCGTGTATATAGTATTATAGCTAAAATGGATAGAATTATCATTAAACCGCCCGCACGTTATCAGAAATGAGCGGGCCACTGTAACTTAATAATGCCCTCATAATGCTTGACGACGGGCCATTATCAAGCCCGTTGTGAGGTGACGTCATAAGGTAGAGAAAGTGACGTCACGTATTATAGTGACGGCATCTGGTTTGTTCTATGACGTTTCCATGTTTGTAAAATGGGGTCAGTGACATTCGTGTTGATTGCAAAAAATTTAAAAACCGATGTTGTTGTTTCTTTTTATTTGATAACAAATTCCATCCATTTTAGCTATAATAACGATAACGCTATTTTTCAGGGCATTATCATATGCAGAAGCCCTCGGTCTTTTCAACTGCCCTCCTTCGTCGGGCAGTTAATGGAAAACCTCGGGCTTCTGCAAATGATAATGCCCTGAAAAATAGCGTTATCCTTATAGTAATTAAAACTTGGAAACTCAAGGTTGATTGTGGTGTAGCCGATA